TTCCGCTTATTTTAAAAAATAAGGCTATTCATTTTCTTATTGTTGAATTTTAAGAGTTCTTTGTGTATTCTGGATAACAGTCCTCAATTAGATATGGATTTTGTAAACACTTTCTTCAAGCCTGTGGCTTGCCTTGTCATTCTCTTAAGAAATTATGTTTTTATTCTCCTTTGATAAACTGCAAGTTATCTAAGAACAAGGGAGATAACTGCATATAAAGTAGCTGACACAAAAGCATAAAAAGATCTTTTTAAAACCAATCCGAAATATAAGTGAATATCGGTATCCTCAAAGGAAGCTAAAATGAATACTAAGAACAAGTCAAAATACAATGAAATTAGATGTGTATTTCATAATTGCCAAAATTATTTTATTTCTTAGATAGTTACAAGAAATCTGGAAGTAGAAACATAAAATAATTCTTTAAATTTCTCTTCCTGTGTGCAAGTTGTCAAACAACACTCTGTCTTCAGCAATCACATATGTTAAATGTGGCCCAAATGTTGGCAACACAGAGATAAAAGGCCCTGAGGTCAGTACTTGTAAACTTGTAACTATTCACTGAGATTTTAAGACTTTATTCCAACTTTGAAAACAAGACCCCATGCTTCTCTTTTATTTCCTACCATATGGTAAGTGGCACTCATCATGATTGTGACAAATAGGGCAAACCAGAGCCAAATTAATTTCTTCTGAGGTTCCAGATATTCAAAGATGTTTCCTGTTAGTCATGAATCTTTCCACCCAAGGACACCAAGGTTTTAATTTGAATTGAATTCAGAGAATAGGCAGAAGGTGACATCAGTCAGGGTATGACAGGTGCAGCCTTAATCCAGTACAAAAGGACCTGTGCCACACATTGCTTTCATGCTTTAGGAAGACACATAACCAGAGAATAATTTGTGATAACAGGGATCTCTAGTGGGTCGGCTCATGCTGCTTTATGACAAATTGATTTCATTTTTCCTACACTCATGATGTTACATTTAAATTTAGATCCTTTGTCTCTAGTGACATTGATCGCATTTCTTGGAAGCTTAGTTCATCCTTTGGCTATTCCCGTATTTATAAAGCTTTTCTTTTCCATCTAGCCTGAATTTTTTTGAACCAGTAAGTGTCTATTACTAAGAATTTTCTTTTAGGAACTCCTTCCATACTTTGCAGTTGGCATTTCATTCTATAATAAACAAACTGCAGTCTCTTTGCTCTTTTTCTTTTCCTTGTCGGCATCAGCTACATCCGTCTCAACTGCCTTCAGATCTAACTTATCTTTATCTTTATTTATAAAATACATGTAAAAGCTAAGAAAATTCAAGGAATTTTCCATATTGTTTAAACTCATATTACATACCTCTACAATAATTTTTTTGTTATCAGTGAGTCCAACTCCCATTATCTAAAGAACTAAAGCTACAGGTTCTAATATCCGTATGAAAGCATAAAAAAGAAATTCAATAATATAGTAGGTAAAGGAAATGTTTCTCAAAGTATATCTTTCTGATGAAAATAAACTAAAAAAGATGGAGGAAGACAGATTTCTCTAGGTAGTGAAAACAAAGTAAAAGTTCTCTCATGCCCATGGCAATGAAAGAAATATGTTCTGAATAAATATAAATAGTTAAAGGGAGTGAAGTATTCATTGAAGTTGAAAGACTGTGTCACCTATTATATGCAGCCATCTTAAAGTTCTTTCAGAAAAAAATAACTAACACTTGATCTCAGTCTAACTATAATAAGGAAGTATATAAATCTGAAGCTTCACTGGTAACAATAATAATTTCAAATCACTGAAGGCTATCAAAAGAAGTAAAACAGTAATGTAGTAAGGAAACTAACATTTATTAAGTATATGCCTCTGTGTTAGACATTGTTCCAAGATTTTGCACATCTGAAAAAATGGTGTGGAAGGATGACTGTTTAACCCCATTTTATACCTAAGAACAAATCACAGGAAAGGATGTGAATGTAAATCCTCTGATTCTAAATCCAACAAATTCTTTAACCATACCATGTTTTCTTAAAGTGTATTCAACTCTGAGTATTGAAAAATGATGAACCAAACCACACCAAAACAAAACCAAGCTGGTTACCAGAGATGGCTCTTTAATTGGAAATGGTTCACAGCGCTTTGCTATTTATTTACCTACTAATTACTGTACGTTAGAGCCTGGGGTAGATGTCATCAGTACAATGTCTACTCTCAAGAAGCTTACGGTATAGTGGAGGAATAAATAATTATTGCTCTACAGAAAGAAGTAGGCTAGAAATTAGCACAGGGTGTATTTAGTCCACAGAGGGGGCATTTTATCCTGGGATGCTAGGAATGGTTTTAGAATACATGATACCTAAGCTAGAGCTTGCAATATTATTTTGAAATCAACAGAAACAAAAATTGGTGGCGGGGGGATGGAATACACAGATGGAGAAGAAAGCATAAGCACATAGGCTGGAATTAATATGGAGACAGGGCAATCTGGTGAGCTCAGTAACACTACGTAATAAGCGTTGAAGCAACAAATGCCCAACAAATGCCCAACAAATGAGCCTGGAGACATCAGAAAAGAAGGCCACACTGGGGACTTTATATGCCTTGCTATGGCATTTGACTCAATCCTACAGGTCAGTGTTTCCCACTATTTAAAAAATAGTTGTCATACTCACAACCTTTGCTGTGAGTTAAAAATGAGAATTTTTAATTTATTTTAATAAATTAAATTAAATTAAAATTCATTTTTAATGTATTATTTTCATGATAATATAAAAACAATATGAGACCTGGATGATGTAGCTTATCAATTTCTAGTGCCTCTGTTTATCTTTGTTCTGCACTTTAGCTGCAATGGTATATAGCAATTATTTGCCCCGGGTTAATGCAAAAAGAATAGATGCAGCCATTATGTTAAAGTGTTCTCATGCAAGGGACAAAATAAAGAATTAGAAGAATTGAGTCATACCAATGCTTACTAACCACAGACATGTGAAAATAAAAGAACTATGATCACTACAGTGTTAGAGTTTCAGGACAATGTTAACTGTTATACTAAGTTAATATAACAAATTTGAACTTTGTTATACAGTTGGTTTCATTTTTTATTTGAAAACATGCTTTCCTTTTATCGTGGTATTAAGCTCCCAACATAATGAAGATTAATTCAGTTTCAAGTTTACCCATAAGTAAGTGATTTTATGATAAAATAATTTAAGCTGGTATAAGTGATGAAATAATGTTTTTCCTTTAAGAAGATTCCAAACATAACTCAAGTTTGAGAAACAGTCCTATAGGTGAGAAGAAACTACTGATTTGGTATAATCAGAAAACACATTTACAAGCATAATTGTTAGGTGTAAAATGGATGGAGAGATGACAAAAATGGCAAAAATTTAAGATGTTAGTTAACCATTGATGGTAATGCTTCATGAAAAAGAAAATAAGGATCTAAATTAAGTACTGATACCTGAAATAGAAAGAAGATAGAATTGAGAAATATAAATAAAATAAATATCAGATCAATTTAGAAAGTAAGTTACTCTAAACTAAACTGAGTATTCCATTCTCTTAACCTCTGGGTTGATTTCACCCAAAACCTCTGTCCTGATTTCTGTTCAAAATCAGCAGATATTGACACTGTAGCTTGTTGCTGACCTTGGGAATCAGAGTTTGGGTGATCTAGGCACGGAATACTGAAAGGTCAAAGCATACATAATTGACGTGTGCCACAGAAAGGCAGGTTTAGATGCCTGAGTAGAAGGGGGAGGCATCTTGAAAAGATTTGCTGTATGATCCAAAAACAAAATAATAACTGTATCCAGTCTAAGTATAGCCCAACATGGACCAACAAATGACCCACTTAGCTTCGATATAGGCTTTCTATGTAATCTCAAGAAGAAAACAAAACAGAGTCCTATTTCTCCAATTGCCCAGATAATACCCTTAAAATAGTTCGGAGAAAGATGAAGCTCAAGAAGGGATTTAGGGGTATATCAGGGTTTCCCAATGTGTATGCAACTGACATTTTGGTCTGAATAATTCATTGTTGGAGAGGGGAAAAGTAATCCCATGCATTTTAAGATGTTTAGTAGCATCCCTACCTCCACTTACTAAATAACAGCAGTAGTATCCTCCAGTTTTGAAATCATAAATGTCTCCAGACCTTGCTAAATGTTACCTGGGGTGCAAAGTCATTCCCAGTTCAGAACCACTGCTGTATATACAGCAAGGTGTATCCTCTCCTATCACTTCTCCACCATGAATGACATTATTCTATACAACAGAATGCAACTTACAATATACAATAGAAAAGGCAACTTAAAATCTAAGAAAATACATTATCTTAGTCCCCACCATGGGATGCAAAAAGGTTGCCTATCAACATTTTTCCAGAACTAATCCCAATATTTAAAATGTTGTATGATACAATTCAGGTGAATCACTTAAGCTACCCGGACATCTGCTTACCCCCTATAAAATAAAAATGTTGAACAAATTTCGTTTTTCCACACCTATCTGATCCTAAAAGTCATCTGGAATCTTTATTACAAAATGTAGATTCCTAGGTTCAATTTCAAATGTATTGTAACGCAGTAGCCTGAGGGGAGCAGCCTGAGAATCTATATTTTTAAAACAAATTCTCAGGAGGGTTTTATCATCAGAAATATTCATGGAACATTGAATCAGATAATCTCTAAGGTACTATCCAGCTCTAACATCCTGGGCTTTTCCTTGGGGGAAAAATAAAAAGAAGCATTTTAGGAAGACCATTTATTCTTTTAGGCCACTGAAAGAGTACAGTAGTAATTGAATCTACTACCATAGTAATTTAGAAAGCAGTACCTGAGTGACCTGAAAGAGTTATAGGGACCCTGTGGGAATAAGTTAGTCAAGAGAAACATTTGGTAGCATTTAAAAACATTAAAAGCATTAGTAATACAGGTGTTCTGCTGTATAAATGAATGATACACTTTTGGAGCTAGGACTCCTGGATACTACTCAATTGAAATACCTTCATTTCCACTTGCTTTTATTTCCACTCTTCTTTTTACAGCTTCATGGTATCAATGCAAAATAAGAAACAATAAAAAGGCAATCTTCCTGAAATGGAAATGCACATAACCTGCAGTGTCTTCAGTTCATTTATGTATTTGTCAGCAGATGATGATGCTCAAAGTAGGGATTAAGTGTCCACAGTGCAAAGTGTCCCCTTTCACAATGTATTCAAGTTTTCAGCCATTTGGTAACAGGAAATATGGGAACTCTGAAAGAAGCAACGCCGCTGGTAAAAATGCTGAACAATGGTCCTATTTTATATGTAATGGCATCATCTCCTAAGTCACTGAATTGATGGATAGTACAAGCATTTGCTTAAGGCTGTTTTATGTTACTTTATTAAGCCTAAACAGTTACATAAATGGATGCTACCTAAACAAACAAAAAGGCAGATGATAGCAATGAATTTTTATGCCAGGAGGAAAAATAAGAGAGTGGACAAAGAACCTGTGAGCTGGTGTCCTCAAATGCCATATGTTGCCTGAAGAGTAAAGGAATATTGAGGTATGCACTCTCGCTCACATTCTTCCCAGTCACAGTCTAAATGAACAGATCATTTCTATTTCATATGGAGTGTTGAAAGTATTCAGTAATGTCCAGTCTGAGAATAATCACAGTGTTAATGTAGGCAGTTTCTTTTATGGAGCGGATCACATTAAGGTGGTTCACTCATTAAGTACCCATAATATTTTCTTTAATCATAAGGTTCTTCCAACTATAGTCACTCTTTTTCCTTTCCGATAGCTATGAGTAAGAGATAACAAAACAGTGACATACAGGTTGAAGGCTTTTCTACATGTCACACTGCACGTCAGTGTCCCAACTGTGCAACAATTCTTATTTTGTTCATTATTAAACTTCAAGTAGGCCCACCATATTTCCTCAAAGTGGATGTCTATGTTATTTTTACATTACAGTACCTTTCAAATATGTACAGTTTACCAGTTAAGGTCCCAAAATGTGCTAGTCCCTTAGTGTAATCACATTTCTGCATTCAATCTTCAGCTTTGCAAGGCAAGATCACAATTACTTTGCACAGGTATCTAAAAAAGGACAAACCTCTGAGGATCTGTCTCATGCTAATGGAACTCTCAGAAACTGATGTATAAACTGGAAATTAGGAATGTATTTCATTAACTTAAAAAAATTATATTCCATCCCAATGGCTGAAATACATAGTCTCTTAGCTTTAATAGTTTGACACTGATTCCAATTGAAAAGGGACCTTATGTCAGTATTTCCCAAAATATGCCTATTTCACTAGTTCTCTTTGATGTTATATTAATAGAAGTTACTTGAGAACGGGGTTTCAATGTTATCTAAGTTTTGAGAAGTATGCAGTTAACAAAGTCATATTTTCTGTATTGAAGTATTTTTCCAAACTCTATTGTGCTGAACAGTGATTCTTTGAGAGGGATGGCATGTGGTGTATTCCAAATGTAGCTAAACATATCATGCTTTTTTTTCCCCCCGAAGCATATCTCCAGGTTAGTGTTTTGCAGAACACAATTAGGGGAAAACCAAAGGATGCCTCCGTGTTCTCAATACTGCTACATCACTGTACTCATTTCCAAAGGCTTAATGGATCCAGGAGGTATCTCATAGACTAAATCATTTCCTTGTGGGAACTTTTAACATATGATTCAAGGAGTACAGGATGTGTGGTAATCCCAGTTTGTCTTAACAGCACTCATAAGAGCAATGAACTCTAGCCTTCATTATATGATTCTAACTTTGGCAGTTTTAATATTTGTGCCGATGTTTCTCTGGTTTCAACATCTAAAATTGACCCAACAGTCCCAGGTTTTTTTTGTTGTTGTTGTTGTTGTATAAACATAGAAAATTGGGGCTTCTTGTTTTAAAGCTTGAAAGTTACATCTGTTTCATCTGAGTTCCTTCCTACGGAAAGGACCCCCAGGCCTCTCAAAAAGTATCAAAGTAACAGATCCCCGCTTCCAGACAATGGGACACCAGCCCCTCATTCATCATGATTACCTCCTTAGGCCTCCTGAACTCCTATTTTCCTATGCATCGTTACATTTCTTCCCTGCTATATAAGCCCTTCATTTTAGTTGGTCGGAGAGACAAATTTGAGACTGAGCTCCCTCCCATCTCCTTGGCTATAGCACCTGACCTCCGCTATAATCCTTGTCTCAGTCATTGGCTTTCTGCGTGGTGAGCAGCAGAACCTAGACCAAACCCTTGGTGTTAAGGTAACACATCCATCTTTATTAAGTAAATGGACTCATTCATAAGTGGCCATTAGAGGTGAATCAATGACCCCTCACTGCATAATTTGAAACTTTCATTAAAATTTTGAAATGGACTTGTCAAAGTCATTCCTGCCTTTATCACTGATATATTTAGGTAAAAGTATACAGGAAACATTGGCCTATTTAACTTTTAGATATCAAACACACTTTATTTTATCTTTATGGAGACGGAGTCTCTCTGTCACCCAGGCTGGAGTGCAGTGGTGTAATCTTTGCTCACTGCACGCTCCACCTCCCAGGTTCAAGCAATTCTCTTGCCTCAGCTGGACTACAGGCGCACACTGCCATGCCTGGCTAATTTTGTTGTGTTTTTAGTAGAGCCAGGGTTTCACCGTGTTGCCCAGGCTGGTTTCAAACTCCTGAGCTCAGGCAATCCGCCTGCCTCGGCCTCCCAAAGTGCTAGGATTACAGGCGTGACCCACCACGCCCAGCCAGATCTTTTAATTTTTTTTTTTAATTTTAATTTTTTTTTTGAGACGGAGTCTTGCTATGTCGCCCAGGCTGGAGTGCAGTGGTGCGATCTCGGCTCACTGCAAGCTCCGCCTCCCAGGTTCACGCCATTCTCCTGCCTCAGTCTCTGGAGTAGCTGGGACTACAGGCGCCCGCCAACATGCCCGGCTAATTTTTTTGTATTTTTAGCAGAGACGGGATTTCACCGTGGTCTCGATCTCCTGACCTCGTGATCCACCCGCCTCCGCCTCCCAAAGTGCTAGGATTTCAGGCCTGAGCCACCGCACCCGGCCTTTTAATTTTTAAAGACATATTTACCAATTGTTTCCATTAAAATTGTTGGCAGTTGCCAACCAGAACTCAGGCCAGTAAGGGTCCAGTCCAGAAGTTAATTTTGATAAAACTACCCATTTAGATTGGAATATTTAGCACTGCAAAGTACTCTTTTCCACCTTGCTTCTGCAAAATCTGGATTATTTATTTCCAACTTGGACCATCTCTGTCCTCCTAAATTCTGCTCAAAATATACCTGTTAATTAATCTTTTTATGAATAAGGCTCTTGTTATTGCTATCACCTAGACAACTTAAGGTGCATTTGCAGAGAAATTTCATCTGATGAGAAGAACATATTACAGCATTGAAGTAGGAACGCTAATCACTGCAAGTTGTTTTACTAGTCCAGTGCTTTCAGTATAATTTTCTTTTTTTTACTTTCATAACATTTTAGAGACTTTAAAAAAACTTTTAACAAGACATTGGTTAAAAAAACTTTTTAAAAGGTATTTCACCTTTCCTTTTTTCCCCCTTGGATTCATTATTTGTAAGTGAGAAAAACTGGCCAGAGGGGCAAACCTTTGGTAAACTGTTTTGTTTTTTTTTGTTTTTTTTTTTTTCCTTCTTGTAGACGCCTCAGCAGAAACAGTGAGACAGGATGCACTTTGCTAAACCTTGGGGCAGGGTGCTTATTTTAGTGAACTGATATTTCATTTTAGTTCTTCTTTTAAGTTCCTGAGGGAAGGATCTTAAAGAAAGCAAGCCTAAAAGAGGTTACCCATCTCAAAACATGCAATAAAAAATCAGAATACAGATTTTTGTTTTGAAATCCTGCGATTTCCAATTACATTCTCGTTTCAGAGAGGTTACAAGGTTTCAACCTCTATTTCATTAATCTAACAGAGTCTAAAATTTCTTAGTTTAAAAGAGCACCCGTAAAGTAAATTAACATAATTTAATCATTTGAATATTTGTTAATTGGAAAAGTAAGATTCTATGCAAACAGGCCATAATTTTCACACAGTAGATACAATGTGTATAGTTTAGAGGCACTGTTGATAATGGAATGGTAGGCTTTCTTATACAGATAATGTATTTTATCATATTCATCAAATAAAAATCAACAGATCTGAAAGACCTAGTGATCACTTTATATGGCCCTTTAATATTTTTAATAATCTTTTGGTCACTGGCCATTCATGACTTTATGCATGTTGAAGAATAATGTGGGTAGAAATTAGAGTGTGAATTGCAAATAGTAAATACACAGAATCCAATACTCCTTTCCTGGCTTCATGTTCTAATTGAGGAAGAGGCAGAGAGCCAAACTCATATATGTGTTTTTTAATGAAAAGTAATTATAAAAGTGGCACAAACATCTAAGTGTAGAACAGGTAAGGGACCTGAATCTTTTGTCCTCCTCTAGAATCAGGGCATTGACCAAGAGTGGAACATGGAGTATGCTGTATCACAGGTAGGCAGAATGGATATTGAATGGAACAGAAACGAATTATGTCCATTATACATTGAAAGTGCAGTGGAAATGAACAGGTTTATTCATTAAGTGACAGAGACCAGTGGACTAGATTTTCTAAAGCTTCTTTCTCCTCTATGATTTTGTTTCTATATCTAAAGTTTCAAATAAATGTGATACACTGCCCCAGAGAATGAGTCTAAGGCTAGGGGAAATCTAAATGTGTGAGGATGGGAGCACGCAGTCTTTTTATGCAACTTGTTTCCACAAATAAAAGTTGCCCTTTCCAAAGTTTTTAGTGCATGACAAGATCCCTTAGAAAACCCTAAATAGCACAATTTTGTTACTGAAACTTACTTTGTTTACTTAAACATGATTAAACTGAGCTCCTATTATGTGACTACAGCCTACTAAACATGGGAATTACCACAAAAAATGGATAAGAATGATTTATCTTCTCAGGAATGCTCAGCAGAAGAGACAAACAGATAATGATAAGGTTTCAATAT